TATATAATTTAATCTTAAAATCTTTTATAATTAATTAATTTTTATATTTAATTATTTTCAGTTTTTTTCATTACCAGTTTGTTTCTAAATAAAGATATGTGTGTTGAATTTATTGCAAAATTATTATAGACTTTGAAAACACATTTAATACATATTAGAGAGAAACAAGTATTATTAAATTGTATTAAAAATTTTTTATGTATAAACAATGACATTATTTACTCAATGTATTTACATTGCGATCTACTAAGATTCCGATAACAAATCGAAATTTTGATAACAAAACAAAGATATGATCAACATTTAATTAAAATATACAGGGATGTATCAAAAGTAAACGGTCGAATATCTCGAAAGCAAAGCATTTTTGAGAAAAATATTTCAGACAAAAATTGTAGGATTTAAAAAGTTCTTTTCACATCCTGCCATCAAAATTGGGTGTTCTATTTAAAAAAATCAATTTGATCTTAACTTGATGTTGGCCACGATACCCAACGTCAAATGTGATTAGTGAATAAAGCTTTTTAATCCTATAATTTTTATTTGAAATATTTTCCCAAAAATGCTTTGCTTTCAAGATATTCGAGCAAACTTTTGATTTGCCCTATATATTGCTCCCTTAAACAATTAAAAATTTTCGAATTGTTGCTGTAAATAAGTTAAGTATAAATATTATACTATCAATCATCTAATTTAACTTTATAAAAAATTGTCAAAATCGATCGTCACACCTAAAAAAAAGATGGTTTAAAAAAATTTTTTTAATAAAATAAAAATAATATTTTATTAAATATATTTTATTTATTATATATATTAAAAATACTTTCTATCGATATTTATGTAATCAAATATTAAAAATTTTTTGTCAAGTTAAAAAATAGATTTTCTCTTTATTTGTATGTTTATTATTATTATTCCATTTTTTAAAATTAAAATTTAAAGTTTAAAAATAGATTTTCTCTTTTTCTGAAAAACTTAATTTTTTTAGTTGTGTCACTTTTGAAGTAAGGTATGCACACATATATGCCGAATAAAAACGCAAATTTATTATTCCTGAGACATTTATAAGTTCTTTTCCGCTTAAATTGTCAATATATATATGTCTATATATATATATATTTTTTTTTCTCACATCAGTTAATTTTATTTGTGTCAATTATTTTTCATCAAATCAGTTATTTTTTTCTCAAATCAGTTAATTTTATTTGTGTATAGAAACATAATATATAGTAATAAAATTGATTCATCATATTTCAATTCAAGATATTGTAAATTAATTAATTATTATCTTTATTATAAAATTATAAATAATTATTGTATGTGTGAATTTTGATGTTTATAAACGAAAAAAGTGACGTGAAGTCTACAGACGAGTTTCAGTATTGTTTATGCATTACTATTTATTCACTACTATTTTCACGCATGAAATATGTGATTTTCTCGAAGCCTGAAATTATATTGCAAAATTATGTTGCAGTAACTTGTATGCCCATTTCTCATTCTCCTAAACATGAGCAAGCAATTATCTACCTCACTGTACAAGACGAATGAATTAATAAATTATAACTCTTCTATAAATATTGAATGATTTTTGGAAAATAATATTTATATTGTAAAACAGTTAAAATTTTTAGTTAAAAAAAACTCAAAATTTTAATTCAAAAAATAAAAATAATTCAAATTTTTATATCATAAATAAGAATATTAATAAAAAAAAATTGTTAAACGCATTAAAAGTACAATTAACTAAGTTATTTGCTATTAATTTATGATACAACAAAGAGATAACAAATTTCTTTTAAATTTTATCGTATCGCCGATTTTATTATTTTAATAATAATTTAGTGCAAAAAATACAATATACGACATATTTACAACATATTTATTGTTATATTTAATTATACAGTTTCTTATCAAAGCGCATATTTAGTATAAAGGAATATATTGTACATTTATGGTTTAAAATAAAAAAAAATTTCTATAAGATATTTTAAATAGCACAAGTATTAATTTTTCGAAAATTGAGATGCAATATACCATTTAACGGCACTGTCATAGCTCCTTTTGGATCAATTACTACTGGTACCAAAGTTTCTTTGCACAGTGTCACCTCGCATTTGCTCAAGATCTTAAGTAGTGTTAGCTTCGTTTGCAAGAGCCCGAAGCGATTGCCTGCGAAATACATATTTAATAGTACCATAATAATATTATGTCAATAAAAAAATGAAAAAATTTATATTAATATTTTAATAGAGATGATATTAAAATCAGTTTTCTTACCAATACACGAATGTGGACCTTCTCCGAATGGGAAATAGACACACGATGGTCTGTTACGTTTGTTCTCCTCATTGAATCGTTCTGGATCGAATTTATTGGGATTGGGGAAATATTCTGGATCATAATGTAGGCCAAGCATCGAAATGTAAACCGGTGTATCTTTTTCAATTACGAGATTGAACTCAGGTACTTTGTAAGTCTGATTAGGGATGCGATTTAGATATGCCAATGGTGGATACATTCTCAATGTTTCTGACATCACCATATCGAGATATGGTAATGACCATACCTGATAATAAAAAATTATATGTAAAGATAATTTTTCATTTAAATTATAACACAGTAATAAGATTAAATAAGACCGTTTATATTAAATACATTACTTTAAATACGAAGCGCCATTATGATCTCAATGTTAAGAAGAACTATTATAATATATATATTCATTTAAATGAATTAATTTCAGAAAATTATAATTGCATGCCAATATGGTTGTCGGACTTTCAACGCAATCAATCTGAAATATTAATAATCCCTCCCAAATTTCCCAAATTTAATCTTAAAAAACTGTAATAAACTTATTGCGAAAAATATTGCCTTGGCCGGGAATCGAACCGGATTCTCTTGCATTCTGTGCGAGCGTCCTAAAGTTGTCTCGGTGGTCTAAAGGTTTACTTTATTTTTATTATTAGCTGCATACCATATCGTATGTAATTTTTCCATTAGATTTCTTGAGCGCCTCGAAAATTTCTTTTCGCAGAGTGTTCTGTATTTCAGGTTGTATCGCAAGTTCATACAACGCGAACGTCGTAGTCGTTGAAGAAGTTTCAAAACCAGCTGAGAAGAAACTAGCTGCTTGTGCCAAAAGATCATCACCATCGAAAGCTACAATTTACTTCATTGTAAATTTTTAAAGGTTTCCAGTTGTTTTAATTAATTATCATTATCAGAATTATTAGTTAGACGAATCAATTAATCTAATTTATCATTAGATATCACATTTCTGTTTTTATTAGACATAATTAAAAAAAAAGTTCGTATAAAGTATAAATAGTTAATTTTAGTTCGCTTACTGAAATCTTTAAGATTCTGATCGTTATTATTATTATTTTTTAATTCGAGAAGAATATCAATGAGATCGTTCCTCTTCAAACCAGATTTCATACGCTGAGTTAGTGTCTCCCAAAAAACTTTACGCATAAAATCAGTGGGCTCTTTGCCAAACATCTTTATTCGTGTCAAACGGACTATAGTTGGAAGGAAAAATATTGCGAGCATCTCAAAGCTGCGATATGTATTATAATAAAATATCATCTTGCCGTATTTACGGAATTCTGCGTTTGGATCTTTGAACGAATTTACATCGAGTCCGTAAGCGGTGCTTCCGATTATATCCGTAGCAAATTTAGCAGTTAACTCTCTTACTTCTATCGTCTTTCCATTACCTGCCATTAATATTACTAGTTTGATTTATTTATCTATGAATATCTTATTCTAATTTTTATGTTTTTATCGACATAAATAAATATGAAAGTTTTTGTTGCGTACATTTGCATATAATTAAAAAATGAATTTATTTTTTGCAGAAATCATGAAATTTTGTTTTCATATTAAATACTTCCTTCGATTTTTCGATAAATGGTTTCAATGCCTTTACGATTTAAATAATATACATATATATATATAAATAAAAGAGAAAGCGTCAATAAGATGTTTTGGCTCAGGATTTTGAAAAATTTTTTTTTTTTCATATGTAGTCTAAGCACTTTTTATGACTAATAAGTGAACTAATAAAAATATTTTCGCTGATTATATACTATTGATTATATATTAGTATTATTTCATAATCCAAAGTGAAGATGAATACAACTCATATTAAACAATGAATTTTGTTTACTCTAGATTTTAAATGTATAAGTGCTCCTAATAAATAAGTGATTATTTGATTATGATTAGTTGCCTATAGACTTTTAAGTCTTTCCAAGTAACACAGCAGCGCTTGCAAAGCATTTATATATATCATGACTTGTTATTTTGCTTGGGTAAAGTTTGTTTCATCAAAATTATTTGTAATTATCAATTTTCATTATTTGACATATATATATGTGTG